AAACTCCAAATCTCGCCACCATCAAATTATAGAAATTTTGCAAGTCAGATTTCAATTAACTTACTAAAGGAGAATAGGATTCATAATTAAGTAATAATTAGTCGTTTCTTGCTTTGCAGTTTAAGTGTTTGTTTGGGATAGCTAGAACTTTGATTTTGATGAAGATGGGTAGTGGGTCTCACCTCTTTGATTTTAATGGATGACTTTTACCTCAATTTTTTAACATTCTTTTTAAAGTGGTAGTGTTACTTCTTAGTTAGCTGGTGAGTTATGAAAATGTAATCTCATTAAAGTCTCCAACTATAATTGTCATTACTTTACAAGAACCAAGAATTAAAGGTTAATGCAATAATAATGATCAATTAAAGAACTGTGTGCACGATAGGAATATTCATAGATGAATTGATTAATGATTATAAAAATTCTAAATTGATTAAGGAAGCTTTATACGAAGCCCTTTGTTTTATTGTCCCCTGCAGAACTGTCTGAGTGCTTTCTGTATCCATTTTATCAGGCACGCTGAGTGCGAGACACGTTCTGAATTTCTAGAGACCATATTGAAACCAATACTAATCTCGGCAAGTTTAATAAATATTTAGGTTTTTCTTCCGACTCCCATGACCAGTCCCTCCGTTGTGGCACAATGCTGTTGCCTGTCCCGCACCAAGAGTGCCTCAACAGCCGAAGCTGGAGGTGAGGGGTGCGCTGGAGCTGCCTCCACAACAGTTGCTGGAGGCAGGAGGCTGGAGGTTGCGGTGTACCCAGAAGCCTCAAAAGTCATAGTTGGAGGTTGAATTTTGGTTTAGACATTTTATCGAATATCTGATCGACGAAGAAGCACTGTGATTTTATGAAAACATATAACGGAGGCTTCTAATCACATGCTCAACACAATATCCCAATTATGCCCGTTTTAGAATATCTGCGTCCTACATAGGGGAAAGACAAGGAAGAGACTATATTCATAACCATGGAGAGGTGACCCATGGTTCAACGCGAGGCTTGACTATCTCCAATATTAGAGAAGAATCTACAAGAATTTCATACGGCAGTCGGTGGCCCGAGGTTCTCACTACTAGTGCAGGAAGATTCTGAGCCGTCGGAAGCGACTACCACTGCACCTGCCTCGACGGCATTCATCCGAGGCTACGGGAGCCTCGGTGGCGGTCGGAGCACATGGGCCAGATCTCGGCCCAGTGTTCAGTCTAACAAGGAGAGTTGTACTTAGCCCGCCGAGACCAAGGGGGATCGAGATCGAGTGGCATATAGGTCGCAACGCCGTGGAGAAATGGAAGTGGATGTGAATGCAAAAGCCCGCTTCGGCAGCTGACTTTGTTGACAGTTATCATTTAAAAAAATTGTGGAAAGATATTATTTCATAACAAAGACAATTTTGACATTTCGTTTTCAAATTACATTGGCCATATGCCAGCAGAAATGTTTTACAAAAGAGGCATAACTTGTTATTTCCAAAGAACTAAATTCAAATACCCAGAAGGGGCCAACTGATTCAAAGCTCCAAATTTGCATTTGTCCTAAACTTGCTGAATTAGTTCCATCTCCTGCATTTCTAAATCAATATTTGTTGTTGTAGTCATAAATATGTTAAGAACAGGAATCGTTGGCAGCAGAAGTTGAACACTCAGTTTAAAACTCCTCCACATACTAGAGATACGTGCAGTGCATAAGGACAGCAGCAAAATTGTGGGATAGATACACCAAAAGATAGCTTGTGGGAAGAATAGTGTGGCCAAGTAACAAACCAATAGGGAAACTTTGTAATTCTTTACACGAATGCGTATGTACCCCATATCAACTTGAGGTGTCAATGGGATTTCAATGGAGATGAAGGAGAAGACAAAGAAGAAGCTAGCGAGAAGCCAAAATTTGGTCCAAGTGAAGTTTCCAATTACTATACCAAACGGATCCCATTCCCATGGTATGGCTGTATATGATTTCAATATGTTTACAACGAATGGGGCAGCGTATCTTAGATCAAAGTGCGACATTATTCTTTTGTAGGAATTGGGTATGAATTGAATATGAAGATGGTACTTGGCATGGTATTTATACAAATTGAGACAACAAGAAAAGACCAGACAAAATGAAATTTCGAAGAAACATACAATAATGGGACCCAAGGGGAGTCTTAACTAACATAATAAATAATGGGGGGTCTAACATAAAGTGGCTTCTCTTGCGGCTTACAAAAATTTAGAATGTTATCACTTCCAAGTCAATTTCTATTAAAAACCCCACACTTTTGGTGAAAACTTCAACTTCATAAAAAGTGTATTTTAAATAGTTTTGCCACTGAAATATTCAACTTAAATTTTTCGACTGATAATAATTACAAAAACTCTTTTTGAATACAGTAAAAAAAAATAACAAAAATAAATATATTAATAAATTTGAATGAAAATATCTTAATAAATTTAATTTACGAATGGGATTTTTCATCATTTCATTAATAATAAAGGCAAAGAAATTTAAACTTTACTTTTATGTTGTAAATTTTCAAAATATCTAATTTTGAAATGGCATTTTTAGTCCTAGGATATGCATAAAAAGACTGAGCAAGAAGCAGAATAATTTAGGGAAAATTGTAGCCGAGGTACCAAGCCTTTCACTTATTTACGGATTTTGTCTAAACCTTTAATTTGTACCACCCATGGTATCAAATCTTTAAAAAATCATAGCAACAGTCCAAATTAACAGATTTCGTTAGTTTGACCCCAAAAACTGTCATTTGATCCAAAAATTAAAAATCTAATACATAATACATTTTCCTATTATATTAAAATTTTAAAAAACAAAAAAGGAAACCACAACCCCCATCTCCTTCTTCCCCAACCCCAACAGCCCCAAAAACAAAACAACCACCTCCCAGCAGTTGGCCGCCACTATCCACCACCATTGAATTGCCTTGGCCTGTTGGTGTTTTCCTGTGTTTGGTTAGATTTTCACTACTCTTGGTGGAAATTAAATTAAACATCCTGTTTAATTTGGATTTTGCTTTCATCTTAGTGAAATCTGGATTTTTTTACTTGGTTTTTTTGTTAAAGTCCGTGGTTCATGCACTTTGGATCAAATTGTTTGCAGATCGGTTAGCCCCTGTTTGCATTCAGGTTCTTTGGGCAGTTTATGTTCTTCGTTCAGTTCGTTCAGCTTCAGTGAAGCTAGTGTTCGTTGGTTCTGCAGGCCAGTTTGGTTGTTTCCGGGTTCAATTGGTCAGTTGTGGTTTCAGTCTTGGGCGGCTTCTGGCTCAGTTCATGCTTGCAGTTTCTGGCCTCTGCTCATTTTCAGCTCAGTTTCAAGGTGCATTTTACTCAGGTTCTGGGTCAGCTTCGTGTGGTGTGGGGATACCTGGGGGTTTTGCGGGATGGTGGTGGTTGCGAGATGTGGCGACGGGACCGGTGGTGGCGGGATGGTGGTTGATTTTCCATTGGGTGGGGTCTATTTGGTGGAAATTATAATTTTTTTTAATTTTTGGGTCAACTAACAATTTTGGTTCTGGACGGAAGAATAATGCTAGAAGTACATAATGATGTACATAATAGTGTACATAATGGTGATGTGTCAAT